GTCTAAAATCAATTCTTCCATGTTCGTTTCTATCACCAATAATTAATACAATTGCTATACCACCAGCATTAGTAGCACCGTCGGTAGTTACCTGTATTAAATTTTCAAGACCATTAGCATATTTATGGTAATCATCATCCCAGCTAGGATTAGCAGAAATTTCAATATTATCCATTTCATTAACATCTTTGGACTTGAATAATTTTTATAACTCACAAAAACGGTTATATTCAATATTATCTTGCACCATTTGACCTGCTACAGTTGCTTTATATCTTAAAAAGATCACGTGTAAGCCACCTAATGGTCTCAGATACTTAGTTTTAGTACCATTACTATTCTGAAGTGTTGTAAATCACGAAAGTGGTGTCGTTGGTGTCGTTGGTGTTACCCTTGTAGCGTTTCGTAGTGGCCGAAAATTGTTAAATAGGTGGTATTTTTACGTATTTTTGTAAGTCTTGGAAAAAAAAACGTAAATACCAATATTTTTGGCGGGTCGGAAGCCCAAAATTACGGCATTTACGATATTTTTTGCCTTTGGTAACAAAAAACACGGTATTTACAATGTTTTTTGACTAATTCCTAGCAAAAACACTGATATTTACGGAGGTTTCGCCATATAACAAAATATGGTTTCTTAATTCGAAAAAAAATACTTTACTTCGTGTGATCCCCACCATGACATTTATATATGTTCTTACTGGCACATCTTCTGGCATTCTATCTAATATATCTTCTGACATTTTATTTAGCATTCTATCTGGCATATCTTCTGGCATTCTATCTGGCAAATCTTCTGGCATTCTATCTGGCATATCTTCTGGCATTTTATCTGACATATCTTCTGGCATTCTATCTGGTATTCTATCTGGCATTCTATCTGGTATATCTTCTGGTATATATTCTGACATATCTTCTGGTATTCTATCTGGTATTCTATTTGGCATATTTTCTGGAATATCTTCTGGTATATCTATCATCTTCTGGCATATTTTCTGGCATTCCACCTGGCAAATCTTCTGGCACTATATCTGATATTTTATCCTCCTATATGAGATCCAGCAAGGAACACTTGGCGTGGATACTCGCGGTTAAGGTCCGGCAGGGAACACTGGGTGTGGATGGTCAGGGAACACTGGGTGGCGATGGTCGTGGTTGAGGTCCGGCAAAGAACACTGTGGATCGCGGGTCGCAGTTAGACGAGGAGGACGAGCAGGAGCACGACGACGAGCAGGAGCACGACGACGAGCAGGAGCACGACGACGAGGAGGAGGAGGAGAGGAGGAGGAAATAAGGAAAAAATAAGGAGGAGAGGAGAGGGGCAAGTAACTGACATAAAATCTAACAACCCTCACCTAGCAGGTAGGGAACAAACATATTGTAAATTACATTATTTTGAGTCTACTCTTAGGGTACGTAGGAGGTATGAGGGGGTACGAAGGAAGCATGAGGTTAGGGGGCGGGGGATACTAAAATAACTAGTAATCTCCTCAATAATCAAATAACAAGACTAACCACCCTCCCCTTTATTTCGTAAAGTGAAATTCAAAGTAGCCCCTCTGGAGTTAAATAACACCAACAAAATCGACAAAACCAACAAAACTAACAAAACCAACAAAACCAACAAAACCAACACGACCAACAAAACCAACAAGACCCACAAGACCCACAAAACCAACAAGACCAACAAGACCCACAAAACCCACAAGACCCACAAAACCCACAAAACCCACAAAAAACCCACAAAACCCACAAAAATCCCACAAAAATCCCACAAGAAACCCACAATAATCCCACAAGAGACCCACAATAAACCCACAACAGACCCACAAAAGACACAAGACCCACAAAAGACACAAAACCCACAAAAAACACACGACCCACAAAAGACATCAAAAAACACAAGACCCACAAAAGTCATCAAAAGACACAAGACCCACAAAAGACACAAGACCCACAAAAAACACAAGACCCACAAAAGACACAAGACCCACAAAAAACACAAGACCCACAAAAAACACAAGACCCACAAAAGACACAAGACACAAGACACAAGACGCAACACCACAAGACACAACACGACAATACGACAACACGACAACACGACAACATGACAACACGACAACACGACAACACGACAACACGACAACACGACAACACGACAACACGACAACACGACAACACGACAACACACAACACACAACACACACGACAACGCGACAACGCGACAACGCGACAACACGACAACACGACAACACACAACACACACACACGACAACACGACAACACGACAACACGACAACACGACAACACGACAACACGAAACACACAACACACCACACACGACAACAGGACAACAAGACAACAGGACAACACGACAATGCAACAACACGACAACACAACAACACAACACACAACAACAACACAACAACAACAACAACAACAACGACAACGACAACGACAACGACAACGACAACGACAACAACAACAACACAACAACACAACAACACACAACAACACAACAACACACAACAACACAACAACACAACGACACACAACAACACAACAACACAATGTCGTCATACTTAAGGCTTCCCATTGATGCTGAACGCCTCGTGAGTGCCATCAAGGCACAACTTCTTCAGAAGAAACCAGCCCTTGACCTCATCCGGAAGTTGGATTCCATGTGACAGCAGGTGTCTGTATGTTGTCTCCAATCGAACAATAAATTGTCGATAGGTCTCGCCCTGCTTGATCACAGTCTTGTAGAAGCACTCCTTGAGGTATATTTGTGCTTCTTCTTGTTTGCGTTTCTGGTACTTCTCATCTAAAGCCTCCAGCACCTTGACATAGCCATCATCTTTGCAAAGGTCTGTGATTGACAAGTGCTCAATCAGTTCCTCTGCTTCACCACTGATGTACTCACACAACTTCGGACCCCACCTTGACTTCTCAAACGTCGTGGGCAAAGCTAGTAACATCAGCTCAGCCTTCCTTCTCCATCTCTTGTAGACAGCAGGCTCGATCTGTTCCATCATAGCGTTCAAGCCGCACCTTGTCTTCGTCTTTGGATCCAGACATTTGAGCCTTTCTTTGGCTCCGCTACCACCTGTGAATAAACAGAGGTGGCAGGCTACGAGCCCCAAGTAGCCACAAACGGTCCTTTTTCCATCCAACAACGGACGCAAGTGAGCCCTAAGCTAAGGGGGGAACCTGCAATGCCCAAGCCGAAATGAATCCAAGCACAACTGTACACACCTAAAGTGTAACAGACATTCCGTCCAAAAGACAGCAAAACGAACCAACAAATCACACATCCCATTGAATAACATTAAATACCATCAAATATCAACGAATCATCGCTCCAGACACAGGAAACATCATCCCCAGCTCTGAAAATCGTGTATCCCTAATCCTTCATCATTCTGCCCAAAAGTCGCCATGATTTGCCACCAGACCCAGCTAATGGTTGGCTCTCCAGTAAATATATTCACCCCTCTGAATGCATCTGAGTCGCTCAGCACATCACCAGCAATCAGAAACCCATCCTTGGCTTAACAATGATTGGGATATAACAATCAATAATAGGGATATTAGCCAACGCTTAAAAGGATATAAGAATCAATGACAGGGTTATTAAGCAACAATAATAAGGGATACCCGACAATAATGGAGACATAACAAACAACAATGGGATTATAGCCTACAATCATGGGGGATAGTGACCAACAATAACAGGGATATTAACCAATAACAATGGGGATATAATCGGCAATAATAGGATGCGCAATACAATTGAAAACGGACCACCGGAATATCGATACAAATTGAATCACTGTGATAAAAACGGGTCAGAAATTACGCGGTCACTATTTTGCTTGCTTTGCACAACCTTTTTTCCGTGCCCAGCTGAATTTGTTTGGTTCAGCCATGAGCACTTCAATGGTATGATGCCCCTGTCCCGTGAGACTAGTGGCACATGCAGAGCCATTCTCCGGAGAAACCTTGAGAAGGCCCCCATTCAGCTGTGATCATGTTAACAAACGTGGTAGTGGCTGCAGCTCAATTTGTTAACACTGAGCCACTCCATTTGGAAGAATTCCATGTGGGTACCCCATAAAAAGCGCCAAACATTATCATTTTTAGTCCGAACACCTATGATTTTTAGGCTTTTGGGTATCCTTGTAAATGGAAATATACCCATCCAAAAGTCAAACAAGTCGCTCACTCAACCACCGCTCGATGTCTTCTCGATTGTAGTTCTCCTCAGTCATCCAAGCACCGTTGGAAATTGATGGGATTGCACGGTCTCTTGGATTCTCTTGGCCATGGAGTATTTCCCAATTTCAGATGGACAAATTGCACGCCGCAAAAAAAATATATAGGCTGCTCTTGCATGGGCCATTTGCTTGTACCACTCTTTGGACTGGTGGGAAGGGCATACATTATATAGGTGGATATAACACAAGCACATCTAACACTCTGGATAAGAAGGATGGTGGGAATGTTACAACTCAAGAAGTAGGTACATATCTCGTTTATCATTGTTATCTTGCAGAGTCTTGTCAGCAGTCTCATTTCAATAGTTAGACAGAGAGAGAGAAAACCTAAGAGACAAAGACGTGTGTCAAGCTGTTGAATATTAAGGTCAGACAACCTGTGTGGTGGCATAGCTATTCAAAGATACCGGTATGTTTGCTTCTTTGAAACATAAGTTTAAAATATGGCCAAGATCCAAAACATACACAATCTAGAATCACCAAAACCTGCGCAGGCATCAAAAAAAACAAACAAACCAATAGGTGCACCAAACCTGCACAGGCACCAAAAAAACAAAAAAAAACAAACCACTAGATGCACCAAACCTGCACAGGCACCAAAAAAACAAAAAAAAACAAAATTTCCAGGAACTAGGGGTCCACTTCTGAGTAGTTGCTGGATTTTTTGTTTTGTTTTTGTTTTTTTGGTGCCTGCCGATGGAGGATAGATTTTTTTCGTGCATGGCCGTGGCCGGGCGGCCACGCGGGTGGCCGTGGCCGGGTGGCCGGGTGGCCGTGGCCGGGTGGCCGTGGCTGTGGCCGGGGCGATGGGGCGGATGGCCGGGTGGCCGGATGGCCGGGTGGCCGGATGGCCGGATGGCCGGGTGGCCGGATGGCCGCCTGGCTGGGTGGGCAGGTGGGCGGGTGGGCGGGTGTGGCCGGGTGGCCGTGGCCGTGGCCGGATGGCCGGATGGCCGGTTGGCCGGTTGGCCGGGATTTGTGGGTGGGTGGCGGTGGGGGGGAGGAGCGTTTTTAGAAGATGATTGTAATTTGCTTACTGCTGATTTCAAACAATATCAAGCAGCGTTTTGCTGTCCCGTATGTGGCGTAAGATTGCTTGAACAAATTTACCATATATGTCTCAACCAGAAACATCGATTTGTGTGCTAATTCCTACCCACATGTATAAACTCATTCCCCTTTAAGACAACACGATCACTCCATGCAGTTCAGCAGTTCAGTTCTTGCCTCTTTTGTCAAAGCTCTATTTGACAATCGCCTTCATTATCACATGGAATAGCCACAGGAAGCCAGCAGCAGTAGCATTTCTTTCACGGGAGGAGGAGATGGATGAAGTGAACAAAAGGTGTACACCAGCAAATGACGGCGAAGACAAGCACTTGACACTAGATGCATCATGGAATAGGAAACAACTTGTTAAACAAGGTGCCGGGCATCTGAGAGGCCCGCGATTGTCGTCACTTTTCAAACATTTTCTAGGGGGGAATTGAAAAGGCTCAAAAACGAAACTTTAGTATCATCAGCAATATGAACATCATCATCATCATCACCACCATCATCATCATACGGTGAGAACATACAGCAGCGTAGAAGGACGCATGTGTAGAAGTGCAAGAGTACCTACAGCGTAGCATGACGTATGTGTGGAAGTGCAAGAGTACCTACAGCGTAGCATGACGTATGTGTGGAAGTGCAACAGAACCTACAGTGTAGCATGACGCATGTGTAGAAGTGCAAGAGTACCTACAGCGTAGCCTGACACATGTGTGGAAGTACAAAAAAACCTACAGCAGCATAGCATGACGCATGTGTAGAAGCGCAAGAGTACCCACAGCGTAGCATGACACATGTGTGGAAGTGCAAGAGTACCTACAGCGTAGCATGAGGTATGTGTGGAAGTGCAAGAGTACCTACAGCGTAGCATGAGGTATGTGTGGAAGTGCAAAAGAATCTACAGCAGCGTAGTAGCATTACACATGTGTGGAAGTGCAAGAGAACCTACAGCAGCGTAGCATGACACATGTATGGTGCAAGAGTACCTACAGCGTAGCATGAGGTATGTGTGGAAGTGCAAGAGTACCTACAGCGTAGCATGAGGTATGTGTAGAAGTGCAAGACTACCTACAGCGTAGCATGACGTGTGGAAGTGGAAAAGAACCTACAGCGTAGCATGACGCATGTGTAGATGTGCAAGAGAACCTACAACGTAGCATGACGTATGTGTGGAAGCGCAAGAGAGCCTCCAGCAGCGTAACATGACACCTGTGTGGAAGTGCAAGAGTACCTATAGCGTAGCATGAGGTATGTGTGGAAGCGCAAGAGAATCTACAGCAGCGTAGTAGCATGACACATGTGCGGAAGTGCAAGAGGACCTACAGCGTAACATGACACATGTGTGGAAGTGCAAGAGTACCTATAGCGTAGCATGAGGTATGTGTGGAAGCGCAAGAGAATCTACAGCAGCGTAGCATGACACATGTGCGGAAGTGCAAGAGGACCTACAGCGTAACATGACGTATGTGTGGAAGTGCAAGAGAATCTACAGCGTAGCATGACGTATGTGTGGACGTGGAAAAGAACCTACAGCGTAGCATGGCGCATGTGTAGAAGTGCAAAAGTACCTACAGCGTAGCATGACGCATGTGTGGAAGCGCAAAAGAACCTACAGCGTAGCATGACGCGTGCGTGTGGAAGTGCCAAAGAGTTTACAGAAGCGTAGCAGACGTAAGTGTGGATGTGAATGAAATGCAAGAGAGCGTACAGATATGTTGCATCACATATGTGTGGAAGTGTATGTGACGTTATTATACCACCCCACCCCCTGCACCCCACCCCACCCCCCACACACAATGTTATTTTCATAGTAGAAGGCAAAATATGACAACAGTCGCGAGCCTCTCAGATGCCAGGCACCTTAAACAAGTGGCAAGAAACGATCAGAATGTCATATCACAGAAAACTTGTAAATATCATCAATAGAAATTAAAAGGGCAGATAGTCACGGTAGTTGACACCTGCTTGTGACTGTTGGATGCTCAAACTGCTTGGGCCCTGAAAACCTAAAAAGAATTTTGGCACTGTGTGCCCTGCAGAGCCAATGAAACATCTGAATAATTATTATCTCTCATCGACATCACCATCATCACCACCACCATCATCATCATCATCACTACCAGTAGCATTACCGTGGAAATTCAGCTGAAAGTGAAGATCTCGGAGGTGCATTCACTTGCGTTCTTTTTTTGGGGGGGTAAAATAGCTATTGGCAGCAAAAATGAACGTTAATTCCTTGCAAACATGATTTAGAACAGTGACACCTGGTTATACGTGTTCCATGTCAAAATCCACCACAACCATAAGGTTGAGCGCATGAGAGAAGTAACATCAAGAGCGTGTTGCGTGGTTGCTTGAGAACATCGAGGGCGTAGCATCAAGAGCGTGTGCCATGCTGCTTGAGATAGTTAAGCGCGTAGCACCAAGAGCCTGCAAGTTGCTTGAGAAATTTGGGATTGAGGGCCCGAAAGGGTTAGCACCAAGAGCGTGTTGTAAGTTGCAGGAGAAAGTTGAAAGTGTGGGATCAAGAGTGTGTTGCCAGTCGCCTGAGAAGTTCAAAGAGTAGCAGGAAGAGTGCGTTGCAAGTTGCTTGAAAAGGTTCAGCGCATAGCATCAAGAGCATGTTGCAAAGCTGCCTGGGAAAGAAAAGAGCATAGCACCAGGCACCATGCAGGAGCGTGTCGCAAGTTGTTCGAAAAAGTTAAGAAGCTCAAAACAATTACAGTAATTCCATCAAAAACACAGGAAACAGGTGGCCGGCTGGCGGGTGGCCGGATGGCCGGGTGTGGCCATGTGGCCGTGTGGCCGTGTGGCCATGTGGCCATGTGGCCGTGTGGCCGTGGTCGTGTGGTCGTGGCCGTGGCCGTGGCCGCGTGGCCGCGTGGCCGGGTGGCCGGGTGGCCGTGGTCGTGGTCGTGGCCGGGTGGCCGGGTGGCCGGGTGGCCGGGTGGTCGTGGTCGTGGCCGGGTGGCCGGGTGGCCGGGTGGCCGGGGGGGTGCGTGGCCGGGTGGCCGGGTGGCCGGGTGGCCGGGATGGCCGGCAACTAAAAAAAGCTATTGTGGATGTTTGGTGCATCTAGTGGTTTGTTTTTTTTTGTTTTTTTTGGTGCCTGTCAATGTTTTGTGAAGTCAGAGTCGCCAAACCTGCACAGGCATCAAAAAAACAAAAAAAAACCAAACCACTAGATGCACCAAACCTGCACAAGCACCAAAAAAACAAAAAAAACTAAAATTTCCAGGAGCTATGGGTCCACTTCTGAGTAGTTGCTGGATTTTTGTTTTTTTTTGGTGCCTGTCGATGTTTGGTGCATCTAGTGGTTTGTTTTTTTTGTTTTTTTGGTGCCTGTCAATGTTTTTGTATATCTCATGTCAAGATCATGATGAAAAAAGTGTGTTTTACTAGGGTTTTAGACCCTCCAAATGCATAAAACATCGGTATTTACAGTGTTTTATCATCATTTTTAATGAAAATTCACTCCCCCATGGGGTGCCGGGCTCTTGTAGAACGGGGGGAGTTGTGTGAACTAGTTCGGTTTTCAGAAACCAAGCATATGAATGAACAACATGAAAGGTCAAGAAAGGTGAATTCTATAGCAAGAAGCAGTCGGATTTCTAGTACTCAACGGGAATCAAACGTTCCAATGGGAAATTCCCAACAAAAATGGAAGTTTGTAGCTGGGAAAATGACTATAAATGGAAATTGTCCATTGCCAGGTTTGATTACCGGAGGATCTTTATGCATGTGTTTTCTTGCATTTTGCGATGTCGTTGACAACTCAAGATAGTCAGTCACCTTGGTGGCAGGATAATCCAACTCAAGTGGGACTCTGCAAAAATCCCCTGGTGACGTTTCGGGCTTAGTCCCATTGACTTACCCTCTGGTAATTTAACATAGCTATTGAAAATGGCAATTGTTAATGGGAAAATCAACTATAAGTGGCCATTGTCAATGGCTATGTTAAATTACCAGAGGGTAGATGTGCATCTCAGGAATTGGACTTGTTTTATACATGTTTCTCTAGGGGGGTGACGTTTGCCCGAAGCCAAAAAAGAATTCCATGCGGGACTGCAATTTGCTGTGTTGTTCCCCTGTGTGATTTTTGCAAACTGCGAGCATACAAAATATTGATATTACCTGCATCTCATGGCATGTTTGCGCTTATGCAAGACGGTGATTTGGCACACCTTTTCAAGCATGTCTTCAAGATATCCTCCGTAATTTGCAGTGTTTCGAGCTGTAAACTAAAACCTCAACAAACCGCAAGACTTTGAAAGAACACCAAGATAACCTAACCCTTAATAAACCCTAACCTCAAATCAACCCTAAATCAATCATAAAGAACGTAAAGAGACCCTAAAACACCTGAATAAACCTTGCTAAAACAACCCTAAGTACACAGTAAACCCTAAACAAATCCTAAAGAAAATCCGGACCAACCAAGTAAATCCCAAAACAATCCTAAAATACTGCTAAACAAACCACAACGCAACTAAACCCCCAATGAAACTCTGGGCGAACGTCCCGGAGGGACATGTTACCATGTTTATACTGGTTTACAACACATGTCATATAACTAAGATATATTGGATTCAAGTAGATATTTCATGTATAGCTTGGCTTTGTTTTTGTTGCCGAAATAATCGAAGGAAGTTTAGCAGTCAAACTTCCGACAATATGGACAGATGAAAAGCAGAGCAGGGCAGAGGCAGAGAGAAGAGAAAGCTTAGAAGAGAGAAGAGTAGAAGAGAAAGAGTCAGAAAAAAGAAGATGCAGATGCGCGAAAAGGTGGGAAAGTTGCGAAACACTGTGTTTTTCCAATGATTTGGGGCTCCGAAGGGTCGAAAAGTAGGCTCCCTAAAGCGGCGGGTGCGGAGCCAGCTGGCCAGATGAGAGATGAAAAATTGCACGCCGTTGTGGCGCGAAGCACATTTCCAAGTCAAAGGCACATGGTCGGACCACTTTTGAGACGGTTGGATGATGACGAAAAAAAAAGTGCGGCTGGTTGTGGCGCGAAGCACATTTCCAAGTCAAAATGTACAAAACACACCATGTACGACAAGATTTAACAAGTCTGTTGGGTCAACCCAGCCTCCCACATTAATAAGATCCATGATGACATTTTCCGATTGAGTTTTCCATTTCCATTTCCATGCGTTAAAGGCTTATCGCCTTGCTGCCTCACAAGCTCTCGAATTGGAAAATGCGACACTATGTGTCTGAAAATCGATCTCCGGGTGAGTCATCTCGGTTGGTAATCAGGCGAGGCGTTGTGCCTGATGGCCGCACTGACTTCCGCAGTGTCGCGGACCCAATCCTTGAGAATGTCACCTTCAGGGATCTCTGCCCAGCGTTTTGCTGGGGTAAGCCTCCCGGCTCTCATATCAGCTCGTACCTGTTCGCAGAATGCTGTGGCCAAAGCAGCTGATAGTGCGACTGGATATTCCTTCAGTTTCGCTGTTCGGAATTCGCCTTCCGGGGATTTTAACCGATAGCTGCGACCGAAGGCTTCTTCACATCAGGTAGACTGCATGAATATAGGGAGCCCAGGAGCTTCGGGATACGATGTGCCAACAAGCCGGTCGGCTTGATTGCCTCTGCACCCCATCGCCACTGGTTCACGTGGCTCAGGCGGACCTCGGGGTGCTTCCGCATGAGCTCAGTCATTGGCGCCCTCCAGATCGTGGGTCTCGTCGGATCCGTTGGCATCCCCGGATGTTCACTGATATAAAGCCCGCCATGCGCGATGTGGCTTCCCAAAGCTTGCATCCCTTGCAGGTAGAAGTTGGTGCCAACATGAGCTTGTCGAAGTTCACGGTTGGAGATGTCCGGAAGTCCGGAAGGCCGAAGAAATTCTCCACTGATCGTAAAGGTCTCGGCCATCGGGAAGTGTCTTCAGGTGGCGGGCTCGTAAACCTTGCTTCTGAAAAGGTCTCGCAAGGGCTGCCCACCATGGTGAGGGCCACAAGACCATGGGTGTAGCACTGCTCGATCATTTTCCATGCTGTCGAGGTATGCCATAACAATACCAGGAATCGAATGCCAAGCCGCGAGGTCCATTGCTGTAGCTGCCAGTGAAGGTCTCCTTCCCGACGTCTGCCCGAAAACAGGTGAATGGCCAGGAGGCAAGGCTTGCTCTGATCTCCTGTTGGCCACTCAATAGTCGGGATATCCTCGCAGCAAGGCGCGTGCTCCCACTGAATCCTGCGGAGGGCCGTCTGCCACTGCAGCTGCTCGTGGAAAAGGCTGGTGACCTTGTGCATCGTCGCTGCACGCTCTTTGCTGTTTGCTGTGCCTCGTCGAACTGGTCGATGTGGAAGAGATGGCTGCTGTGCCTCCATAGTCAGCTGGTGCTTGCGAAGTCGCAAATGCGCCAGGCGTCTGACGCGTTCTGTGCGCGGAAAGAGCTCGGCCATCTCCGTGAACTGCTCGTCAAGCACGTACTCAATCTCCCCATCCATGGCATCGGCAATGATCTCCGGCAGGATGTGCTCGCCCCATTGTTGAAATACGAAGGCCACCCAGTCGTCGTAGTCATTGCCTTCGCATGCAGCAATCGAATCCAGCCATCCATGAGGTCAGGCATCTCCTCCTGTCCTCTCTTTTGATGCTGTCGCACCCAGCACTGGGTAAAGGTTGTAAGGGCATCCCCAAGCTGCAGTCCTTGATCGATGTGATCTATCGGCTTGGCATAATCATTCACCATGGCTGCCAGATTGTCGATCTCGGTGATCAACTCTTCAAGCTGATGTAGGCGATGGTCTGGCAAATATGGTAATGGCCCTGCGGTCTGAACAGCATCCAAACGTACTGCATTTGCATGAGAAGGGGGTGCAGTCGGGGCACAAAATCCACCTGAAAATTGGGCTCTGGAGAGCATATCGAAACAAGGGTTGACACCTCCATCTCGCGGAGCATAGGCTAAGTGCATTGCCAATCGGTTGCTGGTCCAAAAATGCCGCAAGCAGGCTGGACACGTTGCGCCCGTGGTGGATTGATATTCCGGAGCATGAAGGCCATGCTGTTTGCGGCGATGCAATGAGGTGAAGGTACGGCCACAAAAACAGTGATGTAGTTCCCTGCGGTCGTCTGTCGCCTGATCTTCATCAGTAGCTCCAACTGAACGAAGACCTTGCAGGATTCGCTTGTGGAAAACCTTTGCATCAACCATGATCTCTTCTTGCAAAAGATGCCTGCGAGCGGCTCTCTTCACAATACTCTTCCATTGGGGAGCTCCTTGTTGCCAGAATTCAATGATGACAGTGGGGTCTGCCGCTTCCCCCCCAGGCACAGCTTGAGGAAGCACCCTATGAAGCCACTGCAAGTCAGCGTGCAATCCACAGATCCATGCTTGATCTCCACAGTACTGGTGTTCAAGATGCACAAGCTGTTGAAGGTACGAAGGCCCCACTTGAAAAAGCTTCTGAGCATATAGAAGGCGGTCCACAGCAAGCCGAATGCGCACATCCAAAGAATGGGTGAACTGGAGCAGCTGGCCATTGCTGATCTGCTCATCAACTCTCGTTCGGCAAATTTTGCGCAGCATCCCATTGAAGGTGGTCCGCAACCGCCCCAGTTGTTGCAACGTAGGAGTCGTCCAAGCACCAACACCAAAGAATAGTCTCGAACACACCAACGCTTTGAAAAAGCGGAGTCGCAACTGCAGTGGATAATGGCGGTTTCCAAGGACCGGCCAGTAGAGCTGCTGAAAAGTCGACTTGGCCGTGCCAATACGTTGACAAAGTTCAGGCTCGAAGGAATGGCTGGACGAAAAAAGGGTGCCTGTTTGTATTTCATGCTGAAATGCAACCAGATTTGGCGTCCTTCGATCAGCTCAATCTCCACACCTGGCTTTGGAGTCAATAAGTGGGCCTTCCGCATCTCGGGTGCTCTGTGTCCAACAAACGTGAGGACTGCACTCGTCTTGCCAGCATCGAAGTTGACAGTAAATCCTTGCGCCGCAAAGAGGCCATGAATGTGCTTGGTGAGCTCAACAACACTGTCCACTAAAGCATCGGCCGTAGGTGTGGCAACTGGGATGGCAAAATCGTCTGACCAGATAACAAAGACTGGATCAAGCCCCATCCGTGTGAAGGCCTCGTACAGGTAGGGCTGTTGAGAGATCCACTGCCTGAGCTCGTTCGCAATTTCGGTCATCAGCAGGTGGAATATTGCATCGGCTAATGGTGAGCCCGGTCGGGTGCCTCTCATGGTCTTGACCAGGTCACCCCCTGTCAGGGTATACCATGTACTTGCATGTATGTCTTTGAGAAGTCGGCCAAGGACTGGGTCAATGTTGAGCTTGTCCATAAATTGGCGCCTGCTTGGCTTGCCTCAAGTGGCGTGCCAGCCGTGTACAAGGTGTCAAGCACACATTGCCAATCATCTTTGGCAGCGATCCCAGTGACCAATTGCCTGACCAGGTGGTGGAAGGCCGTCGCTAGGTCCACATAGAGCACAGCAGAGCTCATACCCCAGGCTGAGAAGATGTTGGTCAATGCGCGCAATGTTTGGGCCCCAAATGCCACTTGTTGTCCAGCGTACCCGCCAACTTGAGCTGGGTCACGTTGCCGGCTGGCTTGTGTCATAAGCCGGGCTCGGGCCATAGCATGCACTCGCTTGGCTAGTGTAGGGAGGAGCAGGATGCCTCTGAAGTGCTTGGCCTCCACTGCACCGAGCCGCTTGGGAATCATCTTGAGGAAACCTCCCTTTCCCTGCAAGGGTTCTGTACCCCAAATGAACATCTTCAAGATGACCTGATAAAAGTCAGTACCGGCCCAGGAAGGCTGCATGCTTGTGGTACACACTTGAAGGCACTGCATCGAATCCAGTAGCCCTGTCAGCTTGCGTTGCTCTCAGGGCGTCTTCAACCTCTGGTAAGGAGGGAATGCTACTGAATGCGACCTGTGAAGGCAAGTCACGCCATGCTGCATCAGCTTGGTCCTGAAGGCACTTGGCTAGCAAAGCCTTGGCTGGCGTTGGCAGTCCAATCTCAAGATCCTCAAAATGGCGGGCACTCTGCTCTTCCAGGTGTGCAAGCTTGTACGGACTGTATCCCACCTTGCGGTTGCGGAATTTTGGGAGGGAGCGGCGCACAACAGCCCAGAGCTGCTTGACCTGTCGAGGTTCAAGAAATTCGGCCCCATCTTTCAAAAGACTATCAAAGAAGGCTCGATCATCTGCCCTCATTGCTTTCGTGACTAAGAGGCCGTAATGCCTGAACTGTGCCAAGGCTTGGGCAATGAGCTTGTCCTGGAGTGCTGTCAGCTCGCCATAGCTGCTGCCTAAATCCGAACGCTGATGTCGCCACGCTGCAAAGCAGCCTTCCAGGAAAGTCTTCCTCTGCAACTTCACATGGTCTGCTAAGGCTTTGCGCCAATGGCGCTTGGTGCAGACAAGCTCCCAAGTCTGTTCAGAGAGCGTCTGTTTGACCGGCTTGCGGTCTTTCTGTTTCTGCTGGTGGCGCAGGTGTGTGGCCAAAGCGTCTTGTAGTTGTTGAAGATGAGAGTGGACATCCAATTGGGAGTGACATAGTGGTACTCCTTGCCAGTTAACGGCATTGGGGTCCACAGCCAATCGCTCCGCTTGGCCCCAATCAGGCGTGAAGCCATTTGTAGGGCGAGCCAGGGTGAAAACAACTTCTGCACATACAGCTGAATGATCTCCCCTGACAATAGTTGGGTCGATTGTTTCGCTCACCCATGTCGTGCATCTCTGATAGCTCCAGCTGAGTGGCAGTCCCACGTAGTCTATACGCCTGGAACTCCCTGATGTGTGGGTCCATGTCGCTCCCTGGCCCAATTGGCACTCTGCAAAGGTGGCCGGAAGCCACAAGTCATGTTGGCAAATGAAAGCTTCAAATTGAAAATCACCGACGTGTTTGGAGGTTGATGTGCCAACCGTGGCATTGGCGTCGCTCAGGAGGATAATTGGCCATTCGCTCAGAGTGGCAGGGATGGCCTCTTGCAGTTTGCTCCACCACTCCTTGATGACATTGTCGTCGTGGCCGGTGTGAGGGGCGTGTGCCGCAACAATCAAGCAGCGCAAGTAAGGTGTGGCCACCCTGACAATCAAATAGCGGTGATCAAATGCTACAATCTTCAGGTGGTTCTCCTTGAAATAGATCGGCTATGGGTGCTGAGAAGCTTGGTCTTGGGCTCGTCCATAGGGCCCAGTGGGTATAGTACTCACTTGTACCTCCAAAATTTTCTCACTTGTACCTCCTACTCACTTGCGCCTCCACTACTCACTTGCGCCTCCGAACTTCTCACTTGTGCCTCCGACCTGCTCACTTGCGCCTCCACTTCCTTCTCACTTACGCCTCACTACTTTCCCACTTGCGCCTGCTCTACAATCTTGCTTTTGATTGAAAATGTCTACTCTCTTTCTTTCCACAATGCCATGATCTTAAACCTGGCTTGTTACTTAAACTTCATACCCCCTTGCCTTCCACAATGCCATCATCTGAAATCTAACTCTTTATTTAAACTTCCCCCCCCTTGCCTTCCACAATGCCATCATCTTAAATCTAACTCTTTGTTTAAACTTCCCCCCCTTGCCTTCCACAATGCCATGAACTAAAATATGACTCTTTATTTAAACGTTCCCCCCCCTTGCCCTCCACAATGCCATGATCTAAAACCTAACTCTTTATTGAAACTTCCCCCCCTTGCCTTCCACAATGCCATCATCTTAAATTTAACTCTTTATTTAAACTTCCCCCCCTGGCCTTCCACAATGCCATCATCTTAAATCTAACTCTTTGTTTAAACTTCCCCCCCTTGCCTTCCACAATGCCATGAACTAAAATATGACTCTTTATTTAAACTTCCCCCCTCCTTGCCCTCCAGAATGCCATCATCTAAAACCTAACTCTTTATTTAAACTTCCCCCCCCTTGCCTTCCTGAATGCCATCATCTCAAATCTAACTCTTTATTTAAACTTCCCCCCCCCCTTGCCTTCCACAATGCCATCATCTTAAATCCAACTCTTTATTTAAACCTTCCCCCCCTTGCCTTCCACAATGCCATCATCTAAAACCTAACTCTTTATTTAAACTTTCCCCCCCTTGCCTTCCTCCATGCCATCAATAAAAATCTAACTCTTTATTTAAACTTCTCCCCCCTTGCCTTCCACAATGCCATCATCTTAAATCTAACTCGTTATTTAAACGTTACTCCCCCTTGCCTTCCACCATGCCATCATCTAAAATCAAACTCTTTGTTTAACCTTTCCCCCCCCCCTTGCCTTCCACAATGCCATGAACTAAAACCTAACTCTTTATTTTAACTTCCCCCCCCCTTGCCTTCCTCAATGCCATCATCTCAAATCTAACTCTTTATTGAAACTTCCCCCCCCTTGCCTTCCACAATGCCATCATCTTAAAGTTAACTCTTTATTTAAACTTCCCCCCCTGGCCTTCCACAATGCCATCATCTTAAATCTAACTCTTTGTTTAAACTTCCCCCCCTTGCCTTCCACAATGCCATGAACTAAAATATGACTCTTTATTTAAACTTTCCCCCTCCTTGCCCTCCAGAATGCCATCATCTAAAACCTAACTCTTTATTTAAACTTCCCCCCCCTTGCCTTCCTCAATGCCATCATCTCAAATCTAACTCTTTATTTAAACTTCCCCCCCCTTGCCTTCCACAATGCCATCATCTTAAATCCAACTCTTTATTTAAACATTTCCCCCCCTGGCCTTCGACAATGCCATCATCTTAAATCTAACTCTTTATTTAAACCTTCCCCCCCCCTTGCCTTCCACAATGCCATCATCTAAAACCAAACTCATTATTTAAACTTCCCCCCCTTGCCTTTCTCAATGCCATCATCTTAAATAGTCATTAAAAAATATAGAAAAATGATGATACACCGATTATTTTTTCTTCCATCATTTTCACACGATGCCTTGAACGGACTGGATATTCTTTCGCGCTGGGATAGACCTTCAAGCATTGCGCTCGATGCCTTCTGCTTTCTCTTAAAATATGTTGTTCTGTTCTTGTGCAATCCCAATCTTTCTAAGATTTTATCAAGTTCCGCCTCTTTTTTTACTTCTAATGCAACCGCTATGCCAAGGTGGCCCCCCAATTCAAAGTTGTGTCTACAAAAACAATTAACTATATCCCGAGAAGATATATATATATATATGCATATGTATTTCTTAACTATATGTATGTATGTATATATATATATATTGAATAGATATACAAATATATATTATATATATTTAGATGTATATATATATATAAATAGATATATATATATATATATTGATACTAAGGTAATTAGTCTGGTACATGGTGGTAGTAGTAGTAGTAGTAGTAGGAGTAGGAGTAGTAGTAGTAGTAGTAGTACTAGTAGTAGTACTAGTAGTAGTAGTAGTAGTAGTAGTAGTACTAGTAGTAGTACTAGTAGTAGTACTAGTAGTAGTACTAGTAGTAGTACTAGTAGTAGTACTAGTAGTAGTAGTAGTAGTAGTAGTACTAGTACTAGTACTAGTACTAGTAGTAGTACTAGTAGTAGTACTAGTAGTAGTACTAGTAGTAGTACTAGTAGTAGTAGTAGTAGTAGTAGTAGTAGTAGTACTAGTACTAGTAGTAGTACTAGTAGTAGTACTAGTAGTAGTACTAGTAGTAGTACTAGTAGTAGTACTAGTAGTAGAACTAGTAGTAGTACTAGTAGTAGAAGTAGTAGAAGTAGTAGAAGTAGTTGTAGTAGTCGTAGTAGTCGTAGTAGTCGTAGTAGCAGAAGTAGTAGTAGTAGTAGAAGTAGAAGTAGTAGTAGTAGTAGCAGTAGTAGTAGTAGTAGAAGTAGTAGTAGTAGTAGAAGTAGAAGTAGTAGTAGTAGTAGTAGTAGAAGTAGTAGTAGTAGTAGTGGTAACTATAAGCGAGGTAGAAGCGAGAAAAAAACGGAGGTACAAGCGAGAAAATTTTGGAGGTACAAGCGAGGGGCCGACCCCCGACCAGTATGTAAAGGTTGAAATACATCTCGCGGTTCTCCTGACAGCATTTCTTCAAAAACAAGCAGTCATTGGGATCAAGCAAACCCAAGCATAACCAATAATAATTGTCAACAAATAAATACAAGTAATGCTTTACTTATCAGAAAAAATACGAACATGATGAATCTTCCATGGCTGTCCAGGTCTGATATTTGTTGGCCTTCCCGTCTTTCTCTGCACTGCCGCCACCTCCACTGCCTTACCCCAATTCCCCGCCTCAAGAAGATTCGTTTCCGTGGCTTCGATGGGCAAATCGGATGTCGTGGACAGGTCGGGTCTCACCTGGATCCGGGGTCAGTTCACCAGATTGAGCGATTGCATTCCTATAACGATGCTATGCGCTAAGGCATTGCGGCCTTAAAGATCCCATGCATGTCTATCAACATACAGGTACAGAACATGGGCCATATGTCCAAGACTGGGATGAAGTCCCAAGTTTCACCTTCAGAGGTGTGTGAAAGACAGGCAAGAGAGACAGCTCCCCCTGACGTGATGAAAGCTATGAAAGCTGTAGCATACCTTGTGATTTCGGGGTATGCCATGCCTTCAGACCCTAGATTTAACCCAGGGGTATGCTCTGTAGGTCTTCCAGAGTTCTTAGCAGTGCCACGGTCGGCTGGGGATCATTCCCAATACTTCCCAATACCAAAAAGCCCTCTTAACAACCACTTTCTCTTCATGAAAAAACAAGATGAAGCCCACGAACCCGAATGCTCACACGTATGTTAATGGTACAGATGTCAAAACACATGGTTATGCAGCCACGCACAATACCTGTCTGCAATAGTTTATTTGAACAGTCTTGTGCATGTTTCCCTTGTTACCAGTCTGCAGTGTGGAGTGGAAAGTGTAGAGTGTGGAGTGTAAAGTGTGGAGTGGGGAGTGTAGAGTGTGTAAAGTGCAGAATGCGGAGTGTAAAGTGTAGAGTGTGGAGTATGGAGTGTAAAGTGTAAGAAGTGTGAAGTATGAAGTGTAAAGTGTAGTGTGTGGAGTGTAGAGTGTGGAGTGTGGAGTGTAGAGTGTAGAGTAGGGAGTGAGAAGTGTAAAGTGCAAAGTGTGGAGTGTGGAGTGTAAAGTGAAGAGTGTAAAGTGTGGAGTGAGGAGTGTGGAGTGTAAAGTGAGGAGTGTAAAGTGTGGAATGCAAAGTGTGGAGTTTGTAAATTGTAGAGTGTGAAGTGTAGAGTGTAAAGTGTAGAGTCTAGAGTGTAAAGTGGAGAGTGTAGAGTGTAGCGTGTGGAGTGTGGAGTGGAAAGTGTAGAGTGTGGCGTGTAGAGTGTGGAGTGTGGAGTTTAAAGTGTGGAGTGTAGAGTGTGGAGTGTAAAGTGAAGAGTGTGGAGTGTAAAGTGTGGAGTGTAAAGTGTGGAGTGAGGAGTGTAAAGTGGAAAGCGTGGAGTGTAAAGTGTAAAGTGTGGAGTGTAGAGTGTATAGTGTAGAGTGTAAAGTGTAGAGTGTGGGGTGTGGAGTGTAAAGTGTGGAGTGTAAAGTGTGGAGTGAGGAGTGTAAAGTGTGGAGTGTGGAGTGTAAAGTGTGGAGTGTGAAGTGTGGAGTGTGGAGCGTAAAGTGTAGAGTGTGGAGTCTGGAGTGGAAAGTGTAGAGTGTGGTGTGTAGAGTGTGGAGTGTGGAGTGTAAAGTGAGGAGTGTGAAGTGTGGAGTGTGGAGTGAGGAGTGTAAAGTATAAAGTGTGGAGTGTGGAGTGTACAGTAAGGTGTGGAGTGTAAAGTGTGGAGTGTGGAGTGGAAAGTGTAGAGTGTGGAGTGTGGAGTGTAAAGTGGGGAGTGTGGAGTGTAGAGTGTGGAGTGAGGAGTGTAAAGTATAAAGTGTGGAGTGTAAAGTGTAGCGTGTGGAGTGTGGGGTGTGGAGTGGAAAGTGTAGAGTGTGGTTTGTAGAGTGTGGAGTGTGGAGTGCAAAATGTAAAGTGTGGAGCGTAGAGTGTAAAGTGTAGAGTGTGGAGTGTAAAGTCTCAGGTGAGGAGTGAGGAGTGTAAAGTGCAAAGTGTAAAGTGTGGAGTGTAAAGTCTAAATTGTGGAGTGCGGAGTGTAAAGTGTAGAGTGTGGAGTGCGGAGCTTCCCCCATAGACACGGCGACGCCACAGGAAAACCAGAG